TAGCAGTACTAACAAGAAAAGAATATGGAAACTTCCACCATTCATCAAGAAGCCCAGCGTGTCCTCAGATAATCCCTTGTGGGACTGGACGGTGGGACCAGAGCCAGGCTCTGTCATCAGGACTCCCCAGCTGGTCAGAGGCGTGTGTTTGTTCCCAACCATCCCTTACTGTGTCTCAAGATGAATGGCTCCACACTGACCACTACAATTGCTTGACGGTCCCAGGAGAGATGCTATTTTAGCTAAAGGATGGCACTGGAAAGAGAACAAATGTGTCCAAACTGGACATAATTGCATTCACATTGGTTATTAAAAGAAGGTTTCTAATAAAGTTTTCGAAGAGCAGCCAAAATGATTAAAGGGGCAAAAAGCCCCCTAATTATTTTTAAAGTAGAACTTGGTACGTTTTTTTGGAAGATTTACTGAAGTTGGGCTGCAGAGGAGTCAATAGTCTCAGCAGTCCTTTAACCTTCTTCCCTCTGATCAAGGGGTCTCTTGGTAATTTAGTGTCAATCGTTAATTCTTACACAAGACATTGCTCTCTGCAGGGCTGATGTTGCTCTGTTGTGATCACACTGAGCTCTGCTCTCCAAAACAGCAGCAGAAATGGCTGCCTCCCATATGCATGGTGATGTGGGAGAGACACCATTCTGTTTAATTTAGCGGTGAAAAGTCCACTCCTTTCACTGAGGTGTATGAAAACTAATTTGCTCTGTGCCAATATTGGTTTCATTGGAAAAAGTCACCTCTAAAGATCACCTCCCCAACATACGAAAACAAAATCCCTAAAACTGAGACATCAAAATGAATCATATTCTTGAAAATCTCCTTTTTCCTCCAGTCACAAAATGGGGCTGGCAATACTTACATGCCTCTGGGAAGCCCTTTGGGTAAGAAAATCCTCAGGGCATGCAAGATCATCTCTAAAAAGAGCACTATTTGCCTAGTGATTGCTTTTATTGTTCTGGTATAAAAAAAAAAAATCTCTACATAGAATTTGGAGTGTTACACTGAGTTTATTTTGAAAAAGAAATCATAGAATGTTTTTTTCATCTCTGAGCCAGATGGAAAGAAAAAACAAATGTATTCCACCCTAAGAAAGAAAACACATAAGAACTTTCAAAATTTTTGTAGCCAATTTTTTTTCTTTTTTCTTTTCACTAAACAGCATGGAAAAAGTGAGGTGGAGGTAGTGAATGAACAAATAGGCTCTGGTTTTAGTAAGGCCTGGTTTCTGGGGAACAAGGGTTTTGTCCGTAAGGCACCATGCTTTCCCATCTATAGATACTACTCCCAGTGGGTGGGAGTGCCAGGCATGGGCAGCTGTCCCACTGCCAGTCCTTCACTGGTGTAAGTCCCGACACCCACACGTGGCAGCACAGAGCCTGCTCTGGGGGCAGCAGGGTGTTCATGGAGGAGCAAACACCTCTGGGGCACACAGAGAGACCCACAGAAGCGGGGGGAAGAAAGGCAAAGCAAGTCTGCAGGCTGGGGCTGCAGACATTTTGTTCCCTTTGGATGCTACACCTGCATGAGCCGCTGTGCTTTTAACCAAGGAAGCTGCACTGGGGAAAAGTGGTTTTGTTTTCTCACACGTGAATCAACTTGGCCACCTTTCTCCTACTCGCTGTGGAGCGGTTTCCTCTGACAGCCAGCAGCCGCCCTCCAACCAGCCTCTCGCCTTGCCAGTGATCAGAGACCAGTTCCTGCTACTTGCTAAAAACAGAGGAGCTACTTGCCAGGAACAGAAAATTAAAAGAGGAGGTCAGCCATCTGAGAGAGAGAGAAATAGCAAGATCAAATTAGGCATTATAAACAGCCAATTTAAGCTAGATGCAATAATGGCTCATCTAGGGACTGATTCTGCTCTACTCGAGTCAAGACGTCCTTCACTTAAAGGCCCATCTGAGGTGCTTTGCATGCTTCTGCTAGGACAGTGAACTGCAAGAGGGAATTCTTGCTTCTTAAAACCTTAAAGGTCTTATTCAGCACAAATCTTTAAAACCAAGTTTCTAGCACCTAGGTGCTGCAAGAACAATGCACTAAAACTGCAATGAAGGTATAAAATAGCGACAGTCACACTTAGAACTAGGACGATGTAAGTGAGAAGGAAGGCTTTAATAGAAATAATTTTCATCAGTTTGATTTTTAATACCTATGAATGCTTCTGTCTTCAGGTTTCTCATCTCCACATGTCTCTTGGTTACACAAGCACGTACACAGTAAACAACATTCACTTCCATGTCTCTGCTTATTAGTGCTTCCTTTACTGGAACATTTGTAGGTATTATTTACACACATCAAAGGGGATGAGAGTTTGAGATTTATAAGCTCTAATCAGCTGGAGGTGTTTCTAAAGAAATTAATGAAACGAGTCAGAAATGACATTAAGAAATCCAGCACTGGACGTAAATCACAGGGACTTTGCATCCTCTCTGCCTTCCCCTCCCCTTCTTGCAACAGTCGTAGTGCTTGCCAGGGTATATGAACTTGCATTTAGTTTGATATAAAACAAGAAAAAGGATGATGGAAATGTGTACTCAGTGTGCCAAGTTACAGTATTTGTGCATAATAAGGAAAGCCAAAACTCGAGCTGGGACAAAATCATTTCCTATCACTTAAAACTTTCCATACAACCTGTGTTATTGCTCGAACCGTACAGAAAGCAGATGTAATGGGGAAGTTTTCCAGACCCCATGTGGCAGCTCTGACTTTCATGACAATTTCTTGGCCCTTTCTGGTGTCCTGCTTGCACCTCTGCCAATCTCTCCTTTCTGACAGGTTCCTGAGCTGTGTTAATACTCCCCGGGTTCTCCCAGTGATTTCAATCTCTGTTGCCATTTGATACCTCCGTTTCCCTCCTGCAGGAATACTGGGTAAGAAGGATGGTCTGTCTCAGCCCACCTGGCTGCTCAGGCCAGATTTTAAGGATGAACATGCCAGGCATGCAACTGCAGCATCCCTCTCCAGCCCGTTTTGCCTAACAGCTACACTCTTTGCTTCAAATGTGTGAACAGAGAGCTTGAGCCCAGGCACGCTTCGTTTCTCAGTTAAAGGTGGATAATTAAAGCATTATTATAGATAATTACAACCCAGCATTGAAATTTGCTTTGAAATAAGTATTTAATTCATAAACATGTTGCATCCTTAAACTGTCCTAGTTCAGTGGTTATTTCCATGCTAAGGCCACCCAACTGCCCATAGTTTAGCATAGCTGCTGTGCTAGTTTTCAACGAACTAAGCAGCTATCACTGATAAACAGCCATTTCTGTAACCTTATGCATGCATAAGTGCAACTATAGCTGTTGATCACCACTGCGCAGAAAACCTCTTTAGAAGGACTGGAGGATACTAGGTGACTCTTGGTTCATCTCATCTCGATATATACCACCACTACTATTGCTGAAGGAAGAGAAGGATGAAATTGGGGCAAGGAAACAGTACAGCTGGGGCTTACACAGAGGTTTCTCATTAACTTCTTTTGTCAATAGAAGTCTTATCACATCAGTAAAAAGCAGGAAGAACATGATTTAATGTGGCAGATGCTCAGAATGGGCTTATTTCACCTAAGTAAGCTAAAACAAAGCTAGCAGTGCTTCCAATTCAGTGTGGCTCTGCAAAGCTCCGCTCACCAGGGTTTGTGAGGCTTTCTGGGCATGCAAAGTAATAGTTTTGTACCATGTTATCCAAAAATAGCAGTTTAACATTATCTCCACAGACACTGTGTAAATATATATGTAAACCCTACAGCGTGTATCTACACACAACTCCTAGGTTGGGTGTATGACAGGGTGTATGGCAGAATCATCTTGTATTCAAAACCTGATGAAAAAGCCCAAAGAAAAGTCTCAGGAGATCCAGACTGTCTGAAGAAAAGCCCTGCCTCCAAGATGGTGACACAGGGTTTCTGCAGCTGTAATACACAGACCTTTCACTTTTTATTAAACGTATGCAATTCTCATGTTGTTCCTGTCTCGTATCTAATAGGTACCACAGGACAGATTCCCAAATGTAACACTTTGTGTATTTTCTTTAGGAAAATTATAGCTAAAATTAAAAAGACATCCCCCCCCTCACCCCCAAATGAACACTGGAGGGAGTGTGAGATGGAGGAAAGCAGCAGTCTTTAATTGGTTGGTCTTAGAAGCAATATTTGAAAATCTGAAGTACAAAATCTTGTCTCTTTCCAACAGAGCTGGAGTATTTCAACAAACTTATCTGCATTCAGCCAAGGTAAACGTCAGGTCAGGAGGCAATGGAAAAACAACTCTCCTTCCCAAGAAGCCAAAACAACTTCCTTCGTGGTATAGCGTGTGGCCGTGCAAAGAGTGTAAGAACTGGGAACCAAAACCAGGGTTTCTGCTAATGAACTTTAAATGGTTGCTAATTTTTTTAAATTCTTGATAAGCAGCACTGCTACCTAGACAACGGCTCATGGGACCTCGCAGGAAACTGGCTGGGTGATGATATCATCTCATTAGCCACACTGCTTTCTGTTTTGCAGCATATTTTATTTTCTAGTTTGTTTGGGAAAGAAGAAGCAGGTCCAAGAAAACAGAGAGATCGATTTACAAAGCACTTTGGAAAAGTGCAAGTTGATTAGACTTTTCTGAGTATGGCATGTTTTTCTTACCAAATTTTGAAATCTGTCTTAAAAAGAAACATATTTCAGTGTGTGCAGCTCCTTTGTTTCTGTTTTCATAAAATCCTCCATCTGGGCTTCACTTGCAATATGGGTAGCACGTACTGGGGTAGAATTCCTCACAAGAAAGGAGAAGAAATGAAAACATTTCAAAATCATTCTTAGAAGTTGGTGATTTACTTCTGTGCCATTTTCTCATGAGTAGAAGGAAGGCAGGAAGGCAGGATGGCAGGCAGGAAGGCAGGAAAGCAGGCAGGATGGAAAGAAGGAAGGTAGGCAGGCTGGAAGCCAGGCAGACAGGAAAGAAGGCAGAAAAGGCAGGCAGGCAAGAAGGAAGGCAGGCGGGTAGGCAGGCAGGAAGGAAGGAAACACTTTTATTAACATGGTCTTTGCATAGTACCCCAATGGAACACTGGCTGTGATCAGAGCTACAATCAGTATCTAGTCCTTAGTCAACTTAATTTGTTACACACACAGACTAGACTGCATATAATAAGGAAAACACTATCTAAAATCTGCTTTAGAGTTATTTAACCAGAACAAATCATCTGGGAAAGTACAAATATTTCTAACTGGAAAATTATTTCTCTATAGCTGAGCTAGGCCTGACAGCAAACCTTAATGAATTATTAGTACCTTTATTGTTCTCTTTGGCCCCTGTGCACTATATTTGTAAAAAAAGTCAGTAAAAAAGAGAACAATTGTAAAAAGCAAATATTTTGTACAAAAATACAAAGTTTAAAAGCTCTTAAAAGTATATTCCATATTATTGATAAGAGTTGGACTATATATATATATTTATATAAAATCTATATATTTGTGTATCTGTATAATTTTCCTACATTTGGGATTTTAGCAAATGAAACATACTGTTTACACAGTTGCTTTATATGTTTTTCTATATGAGTGACCAACAGTCTTACTCAGATTGAAAGAATGTCTTTTCTCAGAAGACACAAGTTGCTTATGTATGTGGTTACTGGTTGGGAAGAAAATCGATAACAGAATTAGTCCAACGGTATTTCCTGATGCTGTGGGTTGAAAGGCCTCAAATAATTGCAGGATGCTGGAGAAGAGTTGATGCTGAATTCCTTTATGCATTTAAACCAGTTTTCAGTGCTTGCTTTTGTGTTTTTTGTTTTGGTTTTTTTTTCCCCCCAATTTTGGTAGGCAATGTTGCTCTCTCCCAGGATTTTCTTTGTCTTTAAGTAAATTTCCATAATATGTAGGTATCTGTAAAGTCACAGCCTATTACACTCCAAATATTTGCCCTACAGTATGAGAGAAAAAAGAAAAACAAAGAGAAAAAAAAAATCATGTAAAAAGCCTGTGAAGATTAAATGCATTTCCAAAAAGAAAACTTAGAGATGAAAGTATGCAAAAAATTTAAGTGGACTCATTCAGACCCTGGAAGTCCTGGAGGATAAAAATTTGTAAACTATGAAGTTTTCCTAAAATAACAAACATATGTAGGAAAACGAGGGCAAATTACATTGTTACTTACACATGGTTCTTCGCTCTGGACATCCAGAGTTATACATACACAAAGCTTGTTCAGCACTTTGTTTTGTTTTGTTTTATGGGTGCATTTCTGTGGATGGGATGTAATTTTGGCTCTAGCTGACATTTCCATCTGCCTTCACTGAAATTCAGCCTACAGGTTTGCAACTGGAGCACCCAGGCACACTTGGCAAAGCAATGTTTAAACACGTTGTATGGAGGAGATAATGTTTTAGGCAGAGCCCCACCATGAACACAAATACCACCTAACTCTGTGATGATAGGGCCAGGCTCTAAGCAGCCATGAGAACCACCTACCCTCTGCCATTGCAGAAATGCCTGTTTAACCAGAAAGAGATGCCCTGTGGCAAACACCTGGGTGACCGCTGGGTCAGACTGGCAGTTTTCGAGTCCTTCACTCCAACTGCAACAGATGAGTTCCTCATGGCCTGTGGACCCAGCCTCTCAGCCCTATAGGACATCTCCTGGCAGCAGTGGGAATTTTAAGACCCCCTTAGCAGTCACCAAGTGCCTCGTGTTGCACAAACTCTCAAAACAGAGTCTTTTTGGTTTTTGAAGGCTTGTCCCTGAGCTATCCTGAGACCAGCTTTCCCCCTTGTGTGGCCATTGAGTCTATAAAAACAGCTTCCAGTGTGGCTAGGGTCTGCAGCACATGCCAAATCATGCCTGAAATTTTAGGCATGTAGGAGATGGTCAAGATGAGGAGCACGCCATGGCTACAGCCAGCTTGGAGGCTGCTCTTTCCGAGTGCAATAAATCCAGCATCTGCATCACACAGAGTATTACAAAAGTGCACGTTGGGCTGGATCTGAGTAGAAGTGCTCCACATGTGATTCCCTCTCTTCCTCAACAATACACTGCCATAACATCTACCCTGGATCTTTTTCTGCCCTCTAGCTGTGGAAAATTGACTACGGGTAGGGTGAAATAAACAAACCAAGCACCTTGCTTACCTTTGTCCATGTCTTTTTCACAAATGAAATTGTTAACATCTTCACAGTAGAAGTCATTCCAGAGCCCAGCATAGATCAACCCCGCGCAATCTTCCCCTGGTTCATGCCCGTGGCTCCAGTTATCAGGTTGCCCGATTTTCCAGTTTCTTTCAACAAAAAAGCAAAAGATATGATTGCACAACACAGCACACATGACAGTTTTTCACCGCAAGAAATTAACAAAAACATCACGAGATCTGTTCTGAACAGGAAATACACACTGAAACAAACAATACATGACTCTTGCTGAAAATGGAAAACAGATGTATTACAGAGAAGGGAATCTATTCAGCCTCAGGCTGCCAAAACTCAGAGACCTAAAATTAGACCAATGAACTTTATTTTTGTTTCTGAATATACATGCACATACAGTGGGAGTGCTCCATGCTCCATGTGCATTGCTCCAAGCCTGCAAACCCTGTGCACTGCATTCCTGCCAGCAGATGGGACTGAGAAGAGCTGGCAGGCTCACAGGTGCTTCCAAGATGGCAGCACCCTGCCATCATGCTCTGACTGCACAGAGGCAGACCTTTGGGAGGAAAAGAAAAGATTTATGTGTTTTATGGACCCATGCTTGGATGGGAAGTGAATTTTTGGACTTATAAGGAATGTACAAAGCATATATACACTTATCTTTTGAGATCATTAGCTTCGATGGTGAAACTTAACACAGCATGTAAAAAGCTTGCAGCAAGTGTTTCCTCACCCTGTTTTTGTTTAACAAGTAAGAAACGCTTCCAACCTCAGGACTTAAAAGCTCCATTTTCCTCAAGAAACAGGTTGTTGAAGAGAGCTTGTGATTGCTGGCTGATACGGTCCATGCCCGGCTAAAAAACATGCTGCCTGACACAGAGAGTCTGACCAGGCACCTGGGAGGACACACAGCTTTCCTGAAGTGATGAAATATTTTGAAAATCAGTAACTGATTGCTCTGAGGTTACAACAGGGCACCTAAAATCACAGTGTAGTGGAAATCTATTGAAAGCAGCAGCTGAAGTGGGAATCAGTCTCAGTGCTGCCATAAAGAGAAAGAAAGATGAAAACAGGGAGGGAGAAAAAGGGAAAAATATTACGGCTCATTTGAAATGCATCTGACTTTTTCCATGTTTCTCATCAAAATGAACACCAATGAGATCACAGCTAATCATTTCGTAACATCTGACTGACTGTAGCCTGTTTTCCTGGAGCACAGCATGTTCAGCTCTATAAACTCTTTAGTCCACTGCTCAGTATTAAAAATTTGGGTGGTTGACATCTGTTCCATTTAGGACAAATTAGGTGTAGCTCTAGGATTCCTGGAGAGCTGCCAATTCAGTTCTCAGCTGGCCAAAGCGTAGACACCCTCATTTCATACATTTTCCTTACATTTAACGCTTTCCACTTGGGTTTGGGCTTTATCTAAAGGCTGGTCATTTTTTATCGGAACGAGCACTCTATTTATAGCCAGTTGTAATGCAAATATGGAAAATTCAAACCAAGACAGCAAAACTGTCTGTGCTTTCCATCTCAACTTTATAATAAAAGTCAGGAGGAAATGTTTTGGCAAGAAACACTGCCCTGTGTAGTTATGTGATTCTTTCATTCAACATTCAGTTTTCTTCCTGGCAAGGAAAGAAAGCCTTGTGCATGGAGAAGAGAGAGAAAAAAACAGTTCAACAGCACCCTCAGTAACAAATTATTTCATTGGCACCTACAACCCTCTGGATCCATTGGATAATTTCTAGATGCTGCTTTTAGAAGTGTCAGCAAGAGTGGTAGCATCTGCAGAAAATAAACACCATTGTTTTTTATTTACGTACGTGTAAACTGGTAAGGATCCATCCAGCCATCTCCATTCATTTTCCTTCTCTGAATCTGTTAGTCCAATCCAGAAGCTGCCTTTCCCCAAAATCTGCCTTTTTATCCATTGCTGTGGAAGAAAAGTCTAAGTCTATAACAAACAAACACAACCATCTTCGGAGCCAGTAAGATACTCTGGTTTCATGAGCATCTTTGTTATCAGAATAGGAAGGGTCAAAGAAATTTTTCTAAGCTGAAGATATGTTTCAGGAGTTGGCCTTGCGACTCCTTGCCCACACTAGAATCCATCGCAGTGTTTGCATGTGAAGTAGAGAGAGCTAGGCATGAAAATTAGGTTGACATAAAGTCACAGCCAACATCTTATAGATACAAATTGAAAAAAACCCTAAAGAAGAAGCAGTTGTATCTTGACATCCCCACTGCTATCTAGCCACCAAATAATTGTGTTGAACAGTAGTAAAAGTATAACTAGATTTATAGTTAGATTAAAAATATTCTGGGGATCACAGTAGTCTTAGGCTGCATGTATTAAATCAGAAAATTTAAAATTAATTTATATTCACCACTGCAAAAAATACATTTTGGATAATATGCAAGGCATAATGGACTCCATCTTTAAAGGTTCAAAACTCCTACAATTCTCGCCAGCCTTTCTGGCTGCTCTATGCCCACCACCCTCAGGGTCAGCACCAGCTCTGCTCACACTGCCCTTCTGCACATGGAGAAGCTGCTGAGCAGGCAGAGGGTGGACAAAATGCTAACTGGAGTCAATCACTGTGTCTACTTATTACATGAATTCATGATGCTCTTAGCTTCGCACTTGCCTTGTGGCTTCCACATGTTAAATAACCTCAAATTCTCTCCTTGAAAAACAGAAAGAGAAGGTAATTACCTGCTCCTCTTTGTTGTTTATGATAACCAAGCGTGATGCCTTCTCTTCACAGAATAACTTTGCCTCTTCAAAAATTTCTCTTTCAATTGAAAAGTAGTAGCACTTTTCTGTATAGTTCTTCCAGTGAGGAGAACAACCTGTGATGTGAATTTTTTGTGTTAAGCCAGTTACTGTTAACTCAACAGGCCAGGTAAATTTCTGCACAGGGCCAGTTAAGTGGAGGATCCCATACCCATCTACAGCATGTTGCCACCTAAAGCACTTACATACAGTTAAGGAATTTACTTATTAGGATACTGACTCTGTGAAATCAAGGCTAAACCGTGTGATCAAGGGGATTATTTATTACTCATACTACTGCTGCCTTTTCTTTAGCTGTAAAAATTAACTTCAATCAGTTTCAGGTCATCAGAAGGAAGACCAACAGGTATGGCTTCACTTAACAGAGCTCTTTGTGATAAATCCCAGACATTTAGTCTAAGGTAGCAGAGGTTATGTGAACCAGTAACTAAGTGGTGAGCACCCTCCACTACATATATTTGTATCTCATTCAAAGATGTATGCGGTATGTTGATAGCTTACCATTAGCCTCGGGCACTGATGTCGGTTCACTTTGTAGTGCCATCGGCACCCCTGGACCTGGCGGGCCTGGTGGGCCAGGTGGACCCTTTGGACCAGGCAGCCCAGGGACTCCAGGTAGCCCAGGAAGTCCTCGAGGTCCTGGTACCCCTGGCTCTCCCACAGTTCCTTGCAGGCCTTGAAATCCTGGTGGGCCTTGTGGCCCAGGTGGACCATCTTTGCCTTGTGGACCTGGTGGCCCCGGGTCTCCGCTTGGTCCAGGCAGACCTGTCTTGCCAGGAGAACCTCTCTGACCTTTGGAGCCAGGCGATCCTCTTGAACCTTTCCCTCCTTTTTCTCCTGGTGGCCCAGTTGGCCCAGGTGGTCCCCTCTCACCTGCAGGTCCTGGTGGTCCAGGCTCTCCTTTCTCTCCTTTTTGTCCTTTTAGGCCAGCGGGGCCAAGAGGACCTGGAGGGCCTCTGTCACCTTTAGGTCCCCTTGGACCAGGAGGGCCTGAAACAATGTAAGCATGTGAAGTGGGGATATGGACAGAAAACAAAACAAAAAGCCCACATGAGGTCCTTGTTTAACTTATCTCAGGCCAGCAACACTGGATATTCAGCACTGTGAAAAATGGGCTAGCAGCTACTTCTAGCAGTGCTTGTAAAAGTACGTCTGCTTCTCAGGTGCTACATACCATTGCTCTTTCCTTAACCTCCATGAAATACAGGATACAGAAGAAAATAATCTGGTGCACCTCATCCTGTGAACTGGACAGTGACACCATGCCCCAGGTGACCAGCCGAGGTGCCAGTCCCTGCAAGACACATTCCGTGCTGTCGATGCACGTGGTCCTGTGTGTTGATGCTCCCGTTCCTTCACTCTGCTACGCTCCCTTTTCCTTCCATCCCCATCTCTCTGCTCTTAAACTACTGGATTCTTTCTCCTGCAATGACCCTGTTTGCTGCTCTGTCAATAATGGGTTGTCAAAAAGAGACAAAACGATGGATAGTGAGCAATAGGCCAACTGTGGGAAAGACTGGAAGTAGTAGTTGCTAACTAGCTGGCTATTAACAAGAAAGAGAACAATACCCATGATAAGAAATGGCAATATTGTGACAGCAATAAACAAAATAATTTTGGATTCTCATCATGGATGAGCAAATGCCTTGTAAATCCCCCCCCCCCCCGTCAATCTACATCATTTCCACTCTTCCAGAGATAAATTCCTAAGATGGAGTCATTTAGGCCTGGTTGAAATGAGGAAGGTTAAGGTTACTGACATGTAATCTTGGCTCTAATTCAGCCTTAGTTTATTTGGAGCAATGGATTTATATTTGTGATTAGAGTTTTAGGCCTGACTGGTTCACATCAGGTTGGAAATATGAATGTTCTTTTCATTTGGGATAATATTTGGCTGGAAGAAACCTCCTAAACTTGATGCTATTTATTTCTGGAGAAAATAAAATATCCCAGGATTAAAAACTAAGTGAAGTAGGATGTTTTCTGGCAGTCTAACAACTGGCTTAAAGTGAAATAGCAACTTGTTTTTCAGTAAGGGTGGACCTTTCTGGGAATAGTCCAACGTATATTTCTTAGCCATTTCCTCCTTAGCAGGGATTGGTTTCTTGAGGTTCCACACCTTCACTAGCTTATTTTAGAAACTAAATCAAAAGCTGATCCAGTCAGTCAGACAGAATAAAACTTTGCTAAGTCAGAACCTTCTTTCGTAACATCCCCATTCTAGCTATGTAAGGAATGCACAGGATAATTAGTAAGGAAAATCCCAGCTACTTTTACATTTCCAAAGTTTAGGATTAGATAATGGAAAACCCCAGGACTCTGTACCAGCATGCACTAACTTCCACAGAACTAAAGTATTAATGCAAGCAGGAATTTAGCATAGACGATTATAGGCATCATTAGGGAAGCTGCATACCTTGTAGGATAGTGAAGTTCTTGATGAGTTGGCCATGTTTGGAATCTACCAGCTTCATTTCTTCCATGATTACCGACAAATTGGCAACTTCAACATCTAACCTTGACCTCATCAAATCCTGTTGCATCTTGAGAGATGCAGAGTCTAAGCGAATATTGGCTAGTGTGCTGTTCATAAAAATCAGCTCATCTGAATGTTTACTTAAGGAGTCTGTACAAGTTGTCCTGACCTCATTGAGATTGCTAGTCAGTGTCCGTAGGTGATGAGCAGTGTAGCTGATGTTGCTAATGATATTGACTATATCAGTTTCGAAGACCTGGAACCTCTCTTCTAGCTGATTGAATTTGTCAGAAGTTCTGTTTTCATATTCTTTATGCTGTTCCTGGAGATCCTTTAGATTTTGTTCGTTGGCTTGGGCAATTGTGGTGATGTTCTCCATTTGCCCACTGAAGGAGCTGAGCTGATTGTTCATGTCTTCAAGTGTATCATTGTTAGCTTTTGCCAATGCTGAGTTGTTGGCGGCCAAAGTCTGTAAATTTTGTACTTTCTCCTTAAGCCAGTCAGTGTCCTTCCGGGCTTGAAGGACAACCTGCTGCAGATTTTGAAAGTCATTCTTGATTCTTAGAATAGCCAAGCTTGTATCTTCCATTGACTTCTGCAGGACACTGATAAGATTTCTTTGCTGTATTTGTGTCAGGTTTAAGTTGTTCAGGTTCATGACGACCACATTATGAGAATGCACTTGGTTTTGCAAGTTTGTTTGGATATTACTTGTGTCTTGTTGAAGATTGTTGATATAGCCGGTATATGCCTGAAGAGTCTTATTGACACTGATGATCATGAAAGAGTTACTATCTAAGGCACTTCTCATTTGGCTCTGTCTATCATTTAATACATTTCCAGACTCCTGCAGCTTCTCCAGTGTATCTTTGTTTCTGGTAGTTTTCTCTGCAATGTCATGAAGCTGCTGACGAAGAACCAGAATGTCAGATCTGAAGCTAGACAGTTCAGTGTTAGTATTCATGGCTTTTTGTCCAGCTTGGTCATCTATTGTACAGGAAAAAAATTGAAAGGCTTTAGGATAAGTTTTTTAAAACACACTATAAAAAAGCATAGTGTATTTTAAGTATAGTCAGGTTGTCAAAATATTCTTTCAATAGAACTTCTGTGCTATCTTTTCCAGAAAAGAGAAACCACTAAGCAAAGGTCTGCCACTAGACAGAGAAAAAATCAAAGAATAATCAATGAAGACCTTGTGTCTTGCTGAGGAGAACAAAATGGTGATTCTGTCATTATATATGGGAAAAACTACCATTAGAAAGTTATAAGTATACTCAGTCAAGTAGTGCTGTATTCTGAATGAAAACTGAATGATAAACAGAATTTCAAATATTAAAGAGATATCAATATGTTTTGAAGTTACAACTGGATTTCACTGAAAGCTTAGAAGTAAATTTTAGCTGCTGATATTTTCTTCCTCCTTTTCCTGGCAGGTGGAGTATCTTCATTGTGATTTAGTACATATAGTTCCATTTTTTAAAATCTTGGGTTTAGTTTTAAAAAAGTTCTAATACCTATTTTAAAACAATCTAGGTTACAGACAAAAGCTTTGCCAGCAGGCTACTCCAGATATGACAGGATATGATGTATTCCTGTTTTTCTCTCTAATATTTTACTATTGCTTTTAATGACATTTATTTTGCTGTTATTGTTTCCTTATGTTCTGAGTTTGAGGAAGGCAAAACCTTTAATCTTTGAGGAACATCTCTGCTCCTGCTTACACTGCCCTACAAAATACTTCTGGAAGCTTGTCTGTGTATGATTAAGCTTTTGAGGCTCCACAGCTTATCAGCCAGGACATAAAACCCAAGGAAATAAGCAGTCAACACTCACTTTCAGGGAAAGTTCCCTTTCTTGACCTCAGTCACTTCCCTCTCCTACATGCAGTCCATATATTTTTGTCCTCATTAAGTGTAGCTATATTTATGAACTATGCAGTCTGAAGTCCATCATTTCAGATGACTCCAAGAGAGAGCAGGATGGTTTTCATAAACTACAGTGAATACAGCTGTGTATGAAGCTTTCTTCTGGTGTGTTTCAGTGACTCGTGATGGCAAACATCAAATGCTGGCTTGTGAGACTTCAGTCTGAAGTGTTTACGGAGTCTTTTGTGGATGGACATCTTCCCAAGCACGGTTCCTCTCCCTGCCACTTGTCTCACTCCAGGATCTTCTCAGCTCTGACTCTATGTTTACCTCTCGATTATAGCTCAAATTATATTGTGTTCCTCACACAACTCTGACAACTGCCAGGTCCACATACAGCTAATCCCCGAAGGCCTGTCTTTCATTTAGCGCATGCTGTTATCCTACTGGCCCTACAGCAGTTCTCTTACCTTTATGCCTCCCACACACATTGCCCCATAAGTTTTTTAACTTCCTTTATGTCAAGTCCATTTAAATGGGAACTGATGGTCCTGAGCATCTCACTGGCCATCCATCCAGCAGCATGTAAAAATGTGTGGGTGTGAATGAATCAAAGGTGCTCCAAGTTGTGAAAATTTAATCAGCATAGTATAATAACCCAAATATAACCCAAAAGGTTGCATGTGCTTTAAAGTGTAACAATTATTTCTGTACATGCATAAGTAAAAATACACGCCACTGAATTACCCCATGTCTTTGAACTAAATGCAGTGTGGAAATACTTCAGAATCCAGCTATTTTTTGAGGGGAAAAAGTTGTAAAAATTTATGATCAAGCTGCAAGCAATTAATTTTTCTTAGAAATATGTGTCTCAATATATGGTTTATGAATCTAAACAAAATTTATTTCAACAAGTGCATGCATGTATGTGTATATTAGTATTCATATAAAAACGAATTAAATAAACTATAAGTCTATGTATATATAAATTGATAACAGCTCTGCTTCCTTCCCAGACAAGGAAGAAAGGTGGAAATGTACACTTAGTGAGTAGAATCCTTATCCATGATCTTTTTTCATCTTACTGCAAACTGAGAACTGTGATAGCACTTGGGAGACATGAACTCATAACAACCTTGTGTCCTATATTCCCTGAGATGATTAAGAAACATTTTATGGAAGTAATCAACTTGCCTCAGATGTAAGAGTTTTGAACAACTGATTATTTGTGCACTCCTTAAAATGGCCTTCAGTTTTGAATCTTAATTGCTAAAACAGCATCAAGATGACCAGGTGACAGATTTTCATTTTATGTAGAATCTCTTGTGCTGTGGAACAGCTTCTGCTATGTTTTACATCTCTACCTCAGAGAAGACTCTCTCCTGAGGACAACCTTCAAGTATCTGTTTATTTTAGTATAAATTATTTCAGAGTGACTTCAGTGGGAACTATAAATATTGAAGTATGCTTAAAATGCTGTCTTAAGTAGAGCTGATCTTAACTATTTTTAAGTGTTTCCCAAGTACTTGCGAAATTGGAATAGACGTGCTGTATCTTGTCATAGCCAGAAATTTTTTCAGACAAATTTCCTGCCACTATCTGCCAGGAGAATACCCCAAAGCCATAATACAAAGGGGTTTTGCTTGTGTAGATTACCTAATTTCTTCAGATCACTCTCTACCTCGGTGAGCTTTTCTGTATATCTTCTGTGGGACGTTTCCAGGCCACCTGTCACATTGTCCATCTTTTCTACAACTAGGGAAAAAGAACAGTATTTTATGAAAAGAAGAAAAGTGAAATTATGAAAAAAGTCTAGTAAACAATAAAGCAAACCATAAAAACAACCACTACTATCAAACAAAAAAAGCAACCACTTTAAAATTGCCTTGCTTGCCACTACACTCTGTTGTTGCTCTGTAAAATGTTGGAAGGATGAGCTCCTATCTGCTGGTGGGACCCAGCATTCTTCCAGTTCTTCAGTCTGCCAACAGTCCCCAAACATTTCTTTGTTCATCAGCAATCTCTCTTCTGAATGAGGAAATCCCTTTTTGAGGGTTTTCCTCATGAACCAAGTCCTTTTCTTTTAACAGTATTTTCATGCTCCAAGCGCAGTGCTGTGTGGCAAAGGAAGACTGATTGCTAAAGGGTCAGACACATGAGAGAAGACTTCCTTTTATTTTGCTATGCACCATTTCTCCCTAAAAAGTACATTTCTTTTTTTTCCTGTGCCTTTTAATCATTAAAAATTGCCACCTGGATAGCAAACTTTGGACTGAGATAGCAGTTTGAAGATGCAATTACTAAATATATTGGGGATCAACTTTTAAACATCTTGATAATGGTACAGATCACTCAAAATGGTCTTGAAACCATTCTGCCTCATTAAGATTGAAAGGATGGTCATTCAGCAAGTGCATATTTATGGCTGATGTGCTCTTTATTCTGTAATGTCTGAGTCATTTTCTTGTCACTAAGACAATCTGATTATTTGATGGAATCGATATGGCAATGGAAAAAGCAGACCAACAAATAAAGAGCCTGGGGTGGCTTCCAGTGGCAAAAATGTGAAATGCTTGCAAGCTTAGAGGCAGCCTTCAGCTTCCACACCAAATCTTGTCTAATAGGCTTTTGCATTCAAGCAGCAACCAGGGGCAGAAATTTCTTCTCATCACAAGATTATTTAGCCCTTTTGCTACACTGGGAACGGAATTGATCTGAACCAACCCTGGGAGAGGCTACACAAGTTATCGTGCCAGCTCCCTCTTTCAAACAGAAGAAATAAGGTTCTTCCCATCTCTTGAGATAGTGAAGCCAATTCTGTAAACCTGTGTGGTGTAGGGGGTACTGCTAACTCTTTCTGTGTGGGAGATAATCTGCAGCTAGGAAATAGCTTCACAGAAGTTGTTGATATGTAAAGATTTGGTTTTTTACTAGAAGTGGAAATTTAGGGGATCTTTTGCTGTTCATGATCAACCACAAGAATCCCAGACCTTTAAAGTGTAGTCCACCAAGTGCTGCTTTTTTATTAACTTTTCCCCTTGTTTTTCTGACTCTGGGTACCGCAGTTACACAGCAGGCTTTTATTGCTTCCCCAAAACCAACAGGAGAAAAAGCACACCAAGATTATCTCTGGTGCAACTGCACTCAGGTGAATGGAGTTACAACAGAGAAAAAGTCTCAAGGTTTTCAGAGAGACTAGACACCCTTTAGCGAATTAGCTGTCTGCTCCTTTCTATACTGCTTACAAGCCAGGAAAACAGAGACTCTACTGTGTGTGCAAAGATACGAATCAGAGTGTGGCTTTCTGTATTAGAGATGATGGCAGATTGCTTGCTAAGCACCAGATCCAGGCTACAATAATGGCTTTATTTTTTCAGGGGGATCATTGCTCAATACCTTCTGCTTTAGAAAGCATTCTTCCCCCCAATACAGCACTAATTTTTCACTGTTCTTCTGCCCATTAAAGTTACTTGTCAAAATGCTGTATGCCATTTTTCCTAAATGAACTCAGAGCTGATACTCTGTTTGTCCTGCCAAACTGTCTTCCAGGCTGGAGCCCAGATCAGCAAAAGTCCTTCAGTTACTTCTGACACTCTACTGATGCATGTTTACACCTATGCGTCACATGCAGTGAGTGTAGGGAGCATACTTGGTTCTTCCTTCTGGCTAGCTCTAGCCAGCTCCTTGTTCAGTCTGTTGTGTTCCGCTTTGCTTGTGGATAGTCAGTGTGAAGGACATGGTTCACTCTGGGCACTTAAAGAGGACAGCATCTGGATTTGAAAAGCAGGCCTACTCCAAGTGTTTCTGCTGGACCTGTGCCTTGACTAGCAATGTCACATCACCGATGGGTCTTGTTAATTCAGATTTAGTGTAATATTCACCTGGTTTCTCCAGTTATGCAATACACTTGGAGTTGGCAAATTGATATATGTTATCAATAATGAAAGGAAAATGTACTTTCTTCCTTTTGCTGTACAAATGAATGCCAGTTTGTACTTCAGATCTGAAGTTTGTAAAACTGAGATTTTACACTGTCCTATAACAACAAGAATGTTTTCATGGTTGAATGAAATCTAACACTGGAAACTCGGGTTAAAATATTCCCCTGAAGAGTCCAAAGCAAATGAAAATAGTAGAAATCCTATCAATATGTAGTAGCTTGTACTGGCAGTTCAATGAGATCTGATGGAATTCAAGATACAACAGCGTATGGTATTTTCATTGCTGAAAGTAAAAAAACACCCCACTCTAAAGACTGAGCTGGTCTGTAGCTATGGACATTCTTTGTGTGGAACACCCCAAAAATTTGTTGAAGCAGGAATTTAATCAGAAGCCTTACTGGTATTATTGACAATTGGCCATGATATGTGGGGAAGACTGTGCCTGAACTGTGTCTGAAAGATCACTAATGAGCACTGTTAAAAGGTCTTTCAGTCTCCAGCAGCATGCCACCTACAGAAAGTAATAGCTCTTAATTCTAGCATGTAACTGGGTGCAAGACAGCACCCCTGGATTGGGTGGGCTGACATGACACTTAGCTGGACGATGCTGGTTGAGAGAGTCTGGAAAGACAAGGCCACTTTCAAACACACAAGGTATTGATTTTTGTCTATTTGACACTAAACTGATGATGACTTACCCAGATTAACTGATGCGAAGTGGAGAATTAGCTATATCAGGCAAACCATTTCCTTTATTTTAATTGTTTCCCCTGTCGTGAAGTGTAGAGGAGAGAGGCCAGAACCAAGTTCAAACCACCCAGCTCCAGCAGCAGAAACAGTGGAGGTCTCTGCAAATGCGAACTGTAGGGTTAGCTCAAGGATTGCCAGTGATGCAGGCTAAGCTGAATTTTGTCATCCCATAGACAAACCAATGCATATATTTGCTTTACACAGGGGCAGAACCTTAGCCTCCACGGTCAAACAAATTGTGGGCCTGGGGGACTTGATCTCCTGCCCAAACTCCTTACCCAAGCAAGTTGTAGCTTATGTACTTTCTTGCTACTGGCCTGCAAGTGGAAAGGATGAACTCTGGGGAGAACGAGTAGAACACCACGGCCAAAGTAGGTTTTGTTGCTCTTGCTGTGAAAAGGGGTCATATGAATGGATGTCCTATTAATGGGAATGCCTTTGCTTCCTTGGCAGTAGCTCCCACCACCATCGCTGGATGGAGCCTTCGGTGGTAGGTGAGCATGTGGAGCACTCTCAGGAGTGGAAGTAAACCTCTGGGGAGTGCCCTGGGTTCGAACAGCCATCTCCCATCTTCTCCAGAAAAAGGCAAAGGCAAAACAGGCAGACCAGCCATAATATCCCTTATGAAGGCCACTCTGCTGCTCCCAACAGTCTGCTGCTCTCAAAAATGCAAAGTCTATCTATGCCTTAAGCTTAGAGACTTAAGCTTGGTCAGATCTCTCTACATTGTCATCTCACTTTCTGACAAGGTCACTGGAAAATGTGGTAAAGACCCTCCAAAGCCAAAATTTCAAGTAGTTGCTGACCAGAACATTGAGGACCTCCTGCATCTGAGCCACTGTTTTGGAAGTAGGGACAAAATGTGCCATCTCACCAGGATGTGTGGGCCCTAGGTAATGGCAGGCAAACTCGTAGAAGTAGATGAAAGTCACGCAGGGCATTAGTCAAGAAACTTCAAAACAAGGACTGACCAAAGAATGAGAACTACCAGAAATTCAAGCTGAGAGCATGCTAGCTTCCCTCACTGGAGTGAGTCACAGGAAGATCATTCACCTTCAATAGGCTAATCCGACACTGGCTGGTGCCAGAAAAATTGTAACTTTGTATTTTGCATTTAATTTAAGAAAGTATGAGTAAAAAACTACAGATTGCTTTATTAATGCTTTTAACAATAATTTAATATGTCTTCTCAAAGCAAACTAATAGTAAACTCAGCTTTTTATTCCTTCATGACCTTGATGTTTAATTCATGTTTTGGTTTCAGGTTTCTCCAACGACTATGTAATTTTTACCACCAGTTTGGAGGTTTGTTCTGTGTTGATTTCACCTCCCATTGAGTTATTTTTTTGCCTGCCATATTTAATCCACTGATTAGTAGTTTTAACATTTTAAATCACAAAGGTTATCTAAATACCACGTAGGAAATGAAAGTTTTAAAAGTAGTTTTGGGCTTTATAAACATAAGTGTGGGAGGCAAATTTAATAGAAACTTAGCTAAGAGACTGAAAGAATCCCTGATGCCAGCAGAATTCCTTCTTTCAGTGTAATATTGCAATAAGACAGACAAGCAAAACTCTAATGCAGAGAGGAGAGTTCAAGAGCTCTATAAAATTTTATTTTGAGTTTTGTTCTTCCTTTAAGGCCTAATTCCTTCCCAACGATCAAAAATATTTCAATAATTCCTTTGAATATGTACTGTCAGCTGGGGTTTTGTCTAACTCATGTTTTCCCTGCAAATTAGTGCTTAGGCACTGTGGAGATGAAGCTCTTAAGCTGCAGTTACAAAGGGCGAAATTAATGCCTGACGTATGACCATTTGCTGCTTGGCATTACAGAAAGGATACCTTGGACTAAACAGGACTTTTCTCCAGCATATGCTTCTTTCCCTTGGCATTCAGATGGAGCAGTCACCAAGTAGGTGAGTGGTGGAGCAGTGGTCACCAAGATGTCTTAAGGTCTGTGAGCAAGATGTGCATTATCGACCTTCCTATAATCTTTTTCCCATTTTTTTTGTGGGAGAGAAAATTCTTTTGTCCTTGCCCTGATACTGCTATGACAGAAAGACTAGTCCCTGGTCAGGTGTCAATGACTACTCAGTACAAGAGGGAGGTTTAGAAATTAGTGTAGCAAAGATGGGGCCTCAAGATGAGAGCAAAGCCTGGGGAAAAGACAGTGCTAGAGGCCCCCATGGAGAAAGAAGCTTGAAAATTGTGGATTGAAATGAGGAAGAGAAACTCCCTCTCCCAAAGAGATCTTTTGGACAGTTTTCTTATTACTATTGCACAAAAAAACACTTGTCAAAGCAAGATACAGAGCAATGGTTCCTCCAACTTGATAGGCTGTTTCTGATGCCAAGTGAGGTCTGAGTCTTTTGATGAGCCCCAGAACTGACAGCCTTGTATAAAACTCTCTTGAGGAAAATTCTGCTAAATCCCAGGCGTTTAGTGGCTGGGTTATAGCCTGGAAGGATTCCATCCTCATCTGCTGTAAGCAGATCTCTGCAGATTTGTACCTGGAAAAGGCCTAAGTTTGTCTTCCCCTAGTCCATATAACCAAATTATCTTATCTTTATAGATCAAGAACAAGGTTTTGAATCCTGGAAAGTTTTTTTTTTCCTCAGAATCTGACTTCCAGAGACCAGTTACACATTCTTCAGGAGAATGTATGACCAATTATATATGTACTGCATTTCTTTACATTTGATTTTAATTTGCCACGTTCTGTCTGCTTGATCATGAAAAAGGAATACCTACGTGTGTCTATCTGTCCTTCACATTCTGTCATCTCCCTGGCTAAATCTTCCATTTAAACCAATCAGTTTTAATTTTATTCCCACTCAAAACTGTACCAAATCCTCCTAAATAAGTATTTATCCCTTTCTATTTCTACTATTTCATTTTCTTTCACTGGCAAAGGACAGAGGTGATGTCAGCTCTTCTACAAGTGCAGCTGTTGGTGGCACAGGGCACATTGCATGCTAATCACAAGAATTTACCCAGCTTCTTGGAGGGGTTTTGAAGCTACTCTCAGGGCCATACTCAAGCAGCTAGTTTAAAGCTAGCTTGGTTTTCTCTGCAACATGCTGTGATGTCCTGTTATAATACTCACAAAGATGTTACTCACTTTCTTTTTCTTACCAGAAACTCATGTCTTATTTATTTAACTTACAGATGTGACTGCACAACATGCAGACATTTACATCAAAACATTCATAAGAATGCCTAAGTAGCTACAGTTAATTAGTGCTGAGGACATATGGGAATTTTAAGTCGTGCTTTCCAATGTGCCCTACCAATGACTTGCACAAATGAAATTTTCTCCATTACTGGGTTGCCCAACTACCAGAATCTTTGCAATTACTTTCAAAAGCATCTAAGCATCTTTGTTCATCAAAATAATTGTAGATAACTCAAAACAATGGCACCTCCTGGTTCAATCTTTCTTCCAGATATTTCAAAGTGATATTGATCCTACACTTTGTTCCTGTGATAAATATTGTATTAGTAAGACTATTCCTGGCTCTCCCATTAAGAAGGATATTTATTCTGGAAAGGCGCAATATATGTAAAAAACCTCAATGAAATCAAGGTATAGCACATGTTACAGAGCTTTAAGTCTTCCAGTTAGTACTTTGTGTGGAAGAATGATCATTTTGTTCTAACTTTTTTCTTTCTTTCAAATGTCTAATCAAGTTTCAAAACTTCATAATTGTTTGGAAGTGAAAATCTAAGGTTGCAGTTTGTTATGTGTGTACAAAAAGCCAACATTGCCAAGGTATCGATATTTAAGGTGAAATGTGATAAACTGCCTGTCTATCTGATATATGTAAATGCTCTTGGATGCCTGGCTGAAAGTGAAATGTTGGGCCTGATGCATACATACCTTTGTATCCCAGAATGGCTACTGTGATTGTTAACAGGGCACATAAAATATATAATAAGATGATGGAAAACTTCAGTGCCCAGTTATTTTTACATTTGGTACATTGAGTCCCCTCCTGAATACCTGCAAAAGAAGATTTTTAAGAATTTTAAAACAATGGCAAAGAACACATTGCTGGTTTTATCTCCCCATTTCCTCTCCTCCATTCTCTAAAGAACAAATTATTTATGTAAGCAGATGATGTATGGGTGCCTATCTATCTGCCTGTTCTGCCAGGATAGCCTCCACAGTGGTTAAAGCATCAGCTTAGTGATACAATCACTTTGGGATCTTAGCATGTGGAAGAGAAGTAGGTTCTGCTTCACTGGAAAACCTGTGGCTTTCCTGAGAGACAGGGCTATTTTCCAATTGTGCTAACAAGGCTATGGTGAGCTTTGGAAGTCAAATGGTTATTAGCATCTCCTCTGTCAGGCATCACACTGTAGCAGCTCTTTCTTAGCATTCAGTCTCCCTACAGAGGCAAGAGGAGACAGTAAATGCTCCGGCAGAAGGAAAATACAGAAATAAAATAGCATTGTGAAAACCTGATAGGAGTACTGGTCCTGCTGTGTAACCATTACCACAAATGGTTACCATATGAACACTTTTTTTCCATAATGAGAAAGACTTTTTTCCTTATTTTTGGGGGGTTTGGAGAGTATTATTTCCACAGAAAAGAAGGATTGCTATACTGGTAAAGCTAGTGGTACATCTATACCAACAGAAAAATGCTGGTGAATTTCCCCTTGTGGACAAGTTTAAGAAAAAGGGCTTCAAGTTGAGAGAAAACAGGCCTTTATTATTTTATATTTGCACTGTTTGCAGAATGGCTTGATATCTTTGAGTCTATTAGGGAAGCAATATTCCTCTTTTCTCTACATCCTCCTTGGGAACAGCTTGAGAGTGTTGGAAGCCTTGATTAAGTTACCAAGAAATTTGTCAGAAACACAAATGTGTAAAAACATGAATACTGGACCACTGTGCTGGAATTAATGGACAGGATTTATCCCTCCTTCTGTTGTGTGTTAAGCAGGCCAGGATTAATGTAGCTTTCTGTGTCTGTCAGAAAATGCATTTCTTTGATATTTTACTCTATTTGTATACTATTAGGGGAGTCCCACAGGAAACCTTCAAGCTCTAATAAATTCTATGTACCAGATTACTTAACTAATCAAAACTTGCTCCGTAGCTTTTTATGAGTAATTTATATTTCCCCCGAGGCCTACCCACAGATGATTTTACTTTTCCCAACTCATGACCTTCTGCAGAATGGTTTTTTATTTTTCATTTTTTAAGAGAAGAGCACAGCCCACTTCCCCGGGTTCACGGAGGATGGGTGACCAACATATCAAGTTAAGTCAACTGTATTTCTCTCTCAAAGAACAGCAGTTTCCAGTGAATTCCTTGAGCCCAGGGTACTTGAAGGAGGGATTACCATATTGGAACAACTCAGGAAGAGGATTTATACAAAGTTTATTTGACAAGGCATTTTCCTCAATTCCCTCTGCACATATACTAGCCATGGCTAAGGCAGAAATGCATATCTCACAGGTCAGCCCACCTTCTGCATTATGTCGCCTAATGTTTTTTCCAAACTTTTTAGCTGTGACATGACTTTCTGCTGCCATGTGATGAAACCAATATGTCATAGATTTGGGTTCCTTGGTGTTTAGGCATAAGACCAGTTGGGAACATCTGGTTCTTTTTTCAGGAACAGGAGCATCAGGGGAAAATGAGACAAAGACTTGTAAGCATACACCCAAGAACAGAAACTCCAGAGTGGAAAGGCTTCTTTCCTGCCTGGGTAGGTGGGAGGGAAGGGAGCTGGCACAGAGACAGGCAGTTGCATAGCCCATTTATTGGTGACTTGGATTTGGAAGGCTGATAACTCCTGCAACACAAAAGAAAAGGTGAAGTGTCCATAATTCAATAGCCAAGTTTGCTTATGGATCCTGATGTGTGGGCTGGTTGTCTTTGGCCGACAATCTCAAGGAGATTGCTAGTGGGGAAGCTCTGCATACTGAAAAAGCTGGAGAGGGAAAGTACAGTTTTCTAAGGGTTTGCAGTAGGTATTCAGAGACTGAAATTATTTCACAGTAGGAACTTGTGATGTATGGAGCACCATTTTGCTGCTGTTAACTGGTACCAATGGGCTCATTGAACCCTTGAGCGCTGAATCGTTCCTCCTCGGAAGGGTTTAAAATTCAGATTCCAATCCTTTAAGTCTTTGAACATCCCACATATCAAAAACCATGAGAAACTTGGGGCAAAAAGCACATCACATTCACCTTCTAAGTACACAGATAATAGAAAGCTTGATCCTCCCTATTTTAATGTTAATGGAAGCAGGACCAGATCCATAACCGGGAAGACTGATAGACTGCAGAGGTACAAAGCACAGAGAAAGGCAGAAATAAAAACAAAACCTTTGACAGCAACTGCACATCAAAAAGTTTCACTTGATTACAGTCTCATATTAAGATTACTCATTTTATGACATGACCTGCTTTCTGTCACCATACTCTGGCTTCCTGTGTAGTGTAATGAACTGAAACTTCACTGATGTCACTGGATGTATTGTAGTTCAGCATCTAGCATCATGTATGTTCCAGTGCTTCATAAGGATCTTGTTTCACTTGTCTCAGTTCTCTCTATTGCTGGTTCAATAAAACAGCACTTTGGCTTTTTTGAACTTTTACTTTCAGCGTATTTCAAACTGACATCAGAACAGCGCCCCAACAAAAGCCAGACCTTTTCAACTTCTAACAGACCAGTGCTGTTGGTATCAGTAATATAAACACAGCATCCTGAAGCGATCATACAGGCTAGAGTGATTCCATTAACTAAGCTGGGTTGGAACCATGTATTGCATTGTCTGCTGGCGCTTTCTGCCTATCAGCTTAAAACTGCATCTGACTGCCATTGCACCCCCGCTACCCTCATCTAACGTGTCCCAGGTCCAGGGCTGGAGTAAAAAGCCAGGGAGCTCTAACAGGCTCCTTTGTTTTCCTTTACCTAGAGATAGACACGGTAAAGTCTTTCAGAGCTATTAAATTTATTCTTTATTGCAAATACATAGCTCTTAACTCTGCTACTATTAACACCTGACTTTCTAGTTTACTAGACTTATAAAAATTACTAAAGATAGAGGTACCTTGAAGAAAAGATTTGGAAGACTCATTCTGATGTCTTTCTGTGCAGTTAAATAATCCAGGCTATGAGCAAAGGTAAAAGCCAGGAATGCAACCCTCTCTATAGGGAAGAATTACAGTGTAACCAGGGCTCCACAACCTCCCCAAGTACATACCTTGGCTTCAACTTGCCCCGTTGCTCTTCCCCACTACCCTATTTAAGGACCAAGCCCAAATAAGATTGTTCTGATACAGGAGATGCATTTAGTCTGCACTGTGAGGACACATTTTTATTGAAGGGTTGCTCTGACAAGACACGATAGCCAAAACGTTAAGCAACAACAGATGGGAGATGATTTCAAATGCTTGTTGTGATTACACAAAACTGAGCAGGTTGGCTTTAATTTGACAAAACTTCCCCAATTTTACCCACTCAACTGCTTGCTTTCATGGCTTACATAAAATGCAGTGTTCTTCCAGGAGATGTGTAACCTCTCATCTAGAAAGCTATAGAGTAAATGTACAGGGAAAGACCCTACACGCTCATTCCATTGATAGAACATATGTAAAACCTGCAAAAGGGGTTCTCAGCTGAAGTCAAGCTCTTCTCCCTTTGTTATTGTTGCTTCTAGTGCAGCACACTCCTCTCTGTGTCCTGTACACGTGTTTTCAATGTTGGTCTGCTCCCAGACATTTGTCACTAACTTCCAAACCCAGGGAACCAGGGTCACTTCCGCATGATGTGCATTTCTCACTGCTGATTTGATCAACGTTTAATAAATATCAGATGGGACAAAATGTGCCTTGTTTCACTGGACACATGTTTTTTTCCATTCCTTTTCCCAACTTCTTTTAATAAGAGCTCTGGTTTTTCTATCTCACTGTTGGGAAGACATCTGGCCAAACAGACAGCGACCTAGTACAAAGAGATCCTGCTGGCTCACATGCATTGGGGAGCCCCTTCTCTGCAAACCAAGATGGTCACAAAAAAATATGCAAGTGAGACATCCCCCTGTTACCAGGCTTTGTAGTATTTGTTTTTATAGCATTGCATTCCAGTGACTGAAGACTTTGTTCTCATGCAGGGGGTATACATCTGCAGATTCCTTTTGGGCTCCAGATAAGCAGAGGTTTTTCTGGGAGAGGAGCTTGTGGTTTTGGTTGGGGTTTTTTTGTTGTTGTTCCGTGTTTTTTAATGGGAGACTAACTTTATTTGCTCTTTGACATGGAGTAACCACCTTACAAAATGCCTGACTCCTCAACTATGTTACACTTCAGGAACATATCTTTGAACACTCAAATATGATGTGCACACATATTTTTTTTTGCTGAATAATTTTTTTAAAAGCATTTGCTTCTATGTCCTTTTCTTGGTGCTTGCTGCAGGATCTTAGGTGGCCTCATAATATTTCTGCTAGCAGATCAGTTTTGACAAAGATGCAAGGTTCCCTTCATAACCATGACAAAAAATGTACTGATAAGATGATTGAAGAAATGTAGTGCGGGAAATGAAAATACATACATTAGTTACGAGGGGTTTTCCCCAGTGTGATTCACTGAAGAGAGATAACCTATGTTGAATTTTGGAAGGAAGACTGCAAGCCTAGTTTGCAGCCATCAAATGATAAATTTCTCAAAGCGAATGTTTGCAAAACTGATGAACAATAGATCTAATATTTATATTTAAAGGGGCCTGAGCAAACTCTGTCCATCTGGTTCCAACCCCCCTGCCATGGGAAGGTATCACTGCCCATGGCAGGGGAGTTGGAACTATGATCTTTAAGGTACCTTCCAACCCAAACCACTCTATGATTCTGTGATTCAACATGTAGATAGGAATCAGATACTGAGAGGTAACCACGCAGAGTTGTAACAAGCTCCCAGTGGGTGCCTATCTATCTCACTAGCAAAAGTAGATGATCCCATGAGGAACCCAACTCTAGGTGTAAATAACTAAATGCCTTGAAAAAACTGGCTGTAAGTGCTTAAATTCAGGCACCCAAGTGTAAAATGGTAGTTTTTTACTAATATGCATGACTAGCCATTAGGACAGTAAGTCTGTCTCTTAGGACAGAGAGGATTTTAAAATTCAGGCATATAAGCATGTACATATATACACACATACACACACACACACTTATGTTGAAATATATAGAAAAAAAAATATGTGTGTATATGTTTTTTACAGGGAAGCTTTTCCATATTACATTAGCACACTCAAATCGAAAGCAGACACATCTTTGCCAACAATAAACTTTGTATAGCTTTGAGATTACTGGATCCAGCCAGCCACAAAATTCAAAGTGAGATTTTTGTCTTCTCTTTTGCGTGGTGTTATAGGTTATTAACCTACCCTTCATGAAAACAATTCCTGTGATCCTCCATGAATGGTTTCATTGCAGTCAGCAAAACCGATGATTCGACGGCTCCATATGACTAACCTACCTCAGAAAGCAATTGTTTTTTATAATGGTTATAAATGGCAAAAACTGAGACTGGTTCATGTTTTTTTAAATTATTATTTTGAGATAAGTCTCCTTCCTTCAGTTTAGAGTATATTCTTACACTATAAAGGCTATAACTTGAATTAAGTGTAAATAGACACCCTACATTTTTCCTAGCTAATGCGTAAAGGTCTATGCCCATCCCCAAGTTATTGGATGGGCATTCAGCATGAGGCTGCAGTCATGGGAAGCATAGCATATACTAGGGCTTCTCTGAGCAGCTGCCCCAGCCCCTCTCCATCTCTGTGACCTAAATGCTGCTGGACAACCCTTCCTGGGGGTAAGCATGGCTAAAAGAGCAAACGTCACAGTTATTGCACGACTGGCCTGCAGGAAAGCACTGAGTCCTTAGGTTGCAGTTGTGAAGCGCCTGGTTTGGCAGAGCCATGCTCCTGCCTTCAGTGGCACGCTGAGCCATTCCTCACATCACAGCTCCCTCACGTATGCACATCCATCCCCAGGGCTTTGTGGGGAAGAGCTCTTGACCAGGCAAACTAAGGCCCTTTATTGTACATTATAAAACAGGGGTGATACTACTGAATTGTGTCTGCTGCCACCCCCTTCTTCACTTCTCGCTCAGTCTCTTGCCATGATTTCCTTTCCACTCGGCCCTAAGGGGAACACGAGTGCCAGCCTTCCTCCCACATCCACACTCTTTCCAAGCCCGGGCTCTGCAATGGCAATGGTCCTGCTTGCCCAGGTGGTGCAGTGCTACCTTGTGGGCAGGTGGATCGCGACAGCCTGCTTAACTTCATTCTCAGATTTTTACAATGCCATTGGAAAAAATATTTAGCACAAAAATGCTGTCATTTGTTCCGGAATTTACTAGTTTTGTTTCTGGTTTTGTAATCAAATAGGGATAAATGCAAGCTATGCTTATTTTGAAAA